CATCATCACAGACGTGGGTGTGAGATGGATATGCTGGAACTGTGCCTCCTCCTCCTCCTCCTCCTCCTCCTCCTCCTCCTCCTCCTCCTCCTCCTCCTAGCCGGCGTTGGAGGCTCAGGCACTTTGAGAACCGACGGGGACACGATTTTTTCTGAAACTCTCGCACACGACCACCGCCCAGCAATCGCACGAACCAGAGTGAGAGCCAGGGGGGGGGGCATGGCAGATAGATGGCGGTGCAGTGTTCTCGATATGTGCATTGGTGAAACTGGTATGCTACAATCCGCTGGCAACAAATACCACGCACAGGCTGGAATAAATCAGCAATGAACAACGCAAGTGGGATGTGATTGTGCTGACAGGGATGCATCAGTGGGCAGGGCCAGAGCAGATGAGGAAGTCGAATCATGGATATCGTGTGGCACTGCAGTTCGGGGCAAAGACGGGAAAACGGATCACCAAGTCATGCGGCACTACGCTCTGGCGTCCAACGAGATGATGAAAGACAAGGCCTTCCACACGCAGTACACACCACCTGCACAACTGCAAGGAAGAGCTGCAGGGGTTTGGCTGCGTACGAGAGCTTACGACGTCACTATTCGCGACGTACTTGCCGCCAGAGAGAGGGCACGCAGACAATAGGTTGATTTCAAGAAAAAAGGAGCGGAAGAAAAGTATGACGACACCGGTGGCAGATCTACTATCATAAGGAAGGGGGGCATCACCAGCCAATTGGGAATGCACAGGTCAGACAGCAGGGATTTGGTGGTAAGCAGACATACTTCGGGCAAACATGCAGCAGCATTGGGACCAGTAGCCAAGGAGGTGGAGAACGACAACGGCACCGTTTTCAGGGAGTGTTGCGCCCACAGCCGATTGTCAGCAGCCACGATGTTATTTCGATTGTGGGCCCACGTGCTACTGCGTGAACGACGAGAATATGAGGACGAGCAAGATCGACAGCATTGCGATGCCGACGGGGGCTTTACCACATGTGCGGCGACGCACTGCATTAAGAGGAGTGGCAAACACATTGCATAATATCATAGCGAGAGGACACCGAGACCACGTCCCTTTGGGTATGTATGTATATATATATATATATATATTGGATTGGAACACGCATTTCATGTCTCGCGCAAGCACAGACATAAAAGAGCAGACACAGAGGTGACCGCAACGTGCTGACGGAGTTCCTGGGAAAAGGACGCCCGAGAGCCGAATTCTTGAGCGCGGTCGACCGCCAGCTGCAAGCCGCTCTGCCACAACAGCCAGGAGAAGCATTAGCGAGGTCATCTCGGAGTGCGACCCAGGCGGGTTCATCCGAACTCCTGGGAGATGCATTAGTGAGGTCATCCTGGAGTGCGACCCTGGAGGTACCTGCCGAGCTCCCAGGAAAAGAATTGGCGAGGTCGTCTCGGAGCGCCGCCCATTGGGAGCGAACGGCAGAGGAATAATGGAGAGAGCTTCAGGAGCGCCCCACAGCGGACCAGATGTGGAGGACATGTAGCGAAGCGGGCAGAAATTCCATGACATAAGTATTCCGAATGAAGAAGAAGCGGGAGGACAAGGGGGCAGCTGCCTTCCAGTTACTGCGACATTCCTGGCTGCCCCCGTGGCACGAAGTGCTGCAGAAGAGGAGGCGCCTGAGCCCAGACCGCCGCGGTGGAACGCTGACATCCACCCCACCCGTGTGCTTCACGCGGAGGGCTAGAGGGTGTTCTGCCCGATCTGCGGATACCATATGGCGTCGGCGAGGGCCACGAACCCCACGCAAAGGTGCACACGCAGAGCTGCGGACCGTCAGACGGATGCATTTCGACGTCTGCAGGGCGGCCCACACACGTCGCATGCGTGTGGTGATTGGGAGAGACAGCGGCCGTGGCAAGGAGGCAGAGGTGCCGCAGTCGATCGGGGGAAACACAGGGATGAGCGGAGGTCTGAGGCTCGCCCTTTCCTGCGCGGTGAGCAGCTCCCGCGCGAATCCATAGTGCGGTTGTCGGTCCGCTCGAACTTTCGGCCGCGCCGGCCCCGTTGAGTGAGGGTGCTTGGCCGCCTAGCCCGCGGGCCTGTCAATTTCCTGCTGGCCTCATGCAGTTGGGGCAAGGCGGGGCCCTGCCGTTCTGGGCGCCGGGCTTGCTTTTCGTCGCCAGCTGCGCCGAGGTCCGTTCGCGCAGTTTCCGTGTTTGTCCGGGGCTGCCGTCTTTGGTCTGGGGAAAGCTGCGCGGTGATGTGGGCGAAAAGCTGTTTTCGACGCTCGCGCCATCGGAGGGTCATCATCATCATCATCATCATCATCACCATCATCATCATCATCATCCTCATCAGCATCAGCATCAGCAGCATCAGTATCATCGGCCAGAGGCGAAAAAGAGCCAAATCGCCAAGAAGGCTTCCGTCCTTCATCATTCGCCACTTCGGCCGTTTCAGAAAGCCCTGGGGCATCGATCTTCGATCCTTCAGTTCCTCGGCAGGAGGCGGCAGGGGCCCTCTGGCACACCGAGAACGGCCCCCCCCGCGCCCAGCCACCCGCCGTCGGCGTAAGCCCCATCCCCTTTTTCCTTCCCTCCCAGGACGCGCCCTGTCCATAGCACTCGCATCTCGCATCGCGCCTCGCTTCCGCCCAGGTGGTCGACGGGGGACGAAGCGACGACCAGGGGCCTCACGACGTCGATTCCCTCCCCCCCGGCTGGAGGCAAGGAGGCGGCGTCGCCCCCCGCCCCGCGATTGCCCGCCCCGCGGTGACCACTTGGTGCCAATCTTCGGCTTCCGGGCCGAGCGCAGTCTGTAGACTTAAGTCGGGCATGTTCCTTTACAGGGGTATTTTCGGAGAAACATAAATAGTACCCCAAAAATGCGCAAACAATAGTCCAAAGATAGTCAGGGGACTAGTTTTACAATAGTTTTGGACCTTGTTAGGGTATTTGTGGTGTCTTTTTTTTAAAAAAAAATATATATATAAAAAAAAAAAAAAAAAAAAAAAAAAAAAAAAAAAAAAAAAAAAAAAAAAAAAAAAAAAAAAAAAATCGTCGAAAATCCCCCTGTAGGGGGACAGGCCCCACATAGCACTTGGTGCCAAGCTTCGGCCTCAGGGCCGAGCGCAGCCTGCAGACTTAAGTCGGGCCTGTCCCCCTACAGGAGGAATATTCCGGAATAGTAAAAAAATGCTCGGAGGACGACGTTTCGACTATGTGTGGCAATTGTTGGAGCATGCTTTGGCTATGTCTCCTTCTGCGTCCAAAATCCGCCTGTAGTAGGGGGACATGCCCGACCTAACCGTAGAGGGCCGATCGGGGCGTCCACGCAAGCTCTGCGGGCGGCGCCCATCGTGGGCCTGCGCGGCAGGGGGGGGCATTCCGAGAAGTCCGGAGGCCTGCGAGAGCGCAGGCGGCGTCTGAGCACCCTGTCTCGCTTCAGGTGAGCCTCCCTGGACGCCACCAGGCCCTTCCGAGAGGGCCCCTGCCTGCTGGAATGTGCCTTGACCGTCCAGCCCAGTCCTCTCAAAGAGGGCGAGGCCGGACAGAGGCATACCCGATCCCATCGTGCGGCGCTCCTCCCTCCTCCATCCTCCGCCCCCCTCCTCCTCCGCCTGTTCCTCCGCCTCCTCTTGCGTCTCCATCTCCTCTCGGGCTTCCGCATCCACATCCTCTTTTTCCTTCTCCTCCTACCCCTCCTCCTCTTCCTCCTCCTCCTCCTCCTCCTCCGCCTCCTCCTATCCTTATTCCTTATTAGAATATACTCCTACTCCCCCCTCAGGCCGGCAGATAGGGGCCCCATCCGGGTGGTCCCATCCTAACCTGTAAAAAACAATACAAAATCAACATTTTTCTTATTTTTTCCTCTCGACATGGACGTCCTGTCGTCCACGGCGATAATCCATTGCAAAAAATACCACAAAGAGCACACGCGCGCGTTCATGTCAGAATCCTACCGAACACCGTGTGTTTGCAAGCATTTCAACATAAAAACATCAAAAACCCAATGCTTTTTCACAAAAATTCTACAAATTTCCTGCCCGGGCTCTCTTGCTGAAATCATAGGAAAACCATAGGAATCTTAAGAATTCTGTCAAATCCAGCGATTTCACGTCATCGCGCGGTGCACTCGCGATGCTCTGTCATGCACCCAGGCCGCGAATCCTGTGCAAAAAATACCACGCGGGCGACATGCGCGCGCGTCGCCGCGAGCGCATGCTCAAATCCTTCTAGAGTCGTCGCCGTCATTGGCACCGTCGCATGGACGTCCTGTCGTCCACGTCGCAAAATGCATGGCAGGAATGGGACCCGGCTTACCGGGCCGTTCTCGACACGGCCACCTCTGGCTTCCTGCGGTGTACCGGGCCATTCTCGACTCGTCTGGCAATGCGTGCGCGGCATTCAACACGCGCTCGCCAGTTCCCGTCGGCAACCGCCATCGCGGCCGCATCAGCTGTACCAAACCGGCTGGCCGGTGTGACTTCGGCCCCCAGTTGTGCCAGCTTTGCTTCTTATGTTGTGGGAGGGCGGGTGGGACTGGGCATGCCATGCTTGACTCGCTCGAGCTGGCTAGCTTGACTCCTACCTTCCTCCTCCTCCTCCTACTCCTCCTCCTCCTCCTCCTCCTCCTCCTCCTCCTCCTCCTCCTCCTCTCCATCTCCACTCCTCCTCCTCCTCCTCCCCCTCCTCTTCCCCCTCCTCCGACCGCCCGTATCCTTTCCTCCTCTTCCTCCTCCCCTCCTGCATCTCCTCCCCCCGTCCTCCTCATCCTCCTTCCTCCTCTCCTCCTCTCCTTCTCCTCCTCTCCTCCTCCTCCTCCTAGGAGGAGGGGGAGGGAGGAAGACCAGGAGGAGGAGCATGAGACGGAGGAGGAGGACGACGACGACAACGACGACGGCGGCGGCGGCGGCGAGGACGACGACGAGTGCGACGACGACGGCGACGACGGCAACGACGACGACGACGGCGACGACGACGACGAGGACGACGTGGACGAGGAGGAGCAGGCCTCCCTGCCATCTCGAGGCGCTGCGCTGCGGCGGGCGGACGGCTGCGCCTGGGAGACGCTCGAGCTGCAGGACGAGCACGTGGTGATGCGGCGCGGACCTCGGCGGCGGGCCCTCGTCCGCAGGCCTTCGCCGAGCCTCCAAGGGGGGCCTCTGGCGGCCTTGGGCGGCCTCTGGGAGGAGGAGGAGGAGGAGGAGGAGGAGGAGGAGGAGGAGGAAGAGGAGAAGGAGGAGGCGGAGGAGGAGGAGGAGGAGGAGGAGGAGGACGGGGGGAGGGGGAGGAGATGCAGGGAGGGGGAGGCGTGGAGGAGGCGGAGGAAGGAGGGAGGATAGGGAGGAGGATATGGAAGAGGAGGAAGAACAGTGTAAACCTCAGACTCGTCAACGATGTTCCGATACACCCTCCCTCCAGGTTCCATCTTCACAGACCTCTACAAGGATTTATTTTCACTTGGGGAAACGCCCCGTTGGAGGACAACTCTCTGGAAATTCTGAACCGTGCCAGAACACCATTCCTGGGACTTCAGCGCCGAGAGTGAACTTTACTGTTACGTCCTGACAGTCCTACGACGCGCAAAAATACCATGTCTGCGATGTGAACTGTGAGAACCCTTGAATATGCTGTAGACTCGTAAGACGAGTGCGCGCGGGGCTAGGGCGAGAGCCACATTTTGGAAATGGTGCCGCCCTCCATCCGTGAAGCTGAAATAGTTGACGCTTCGCGTATCCCCACCACGGTACACCATTCGCTGCGCCGAGGTTGGCAGGCTCCATATTTCGATAGTGTCTCAAGCGGCGTACTGCTGGACCATGGTCTCAGACACCTTGGGGTTATTTGCATCGCGCCATTTTGGCAGCGTAGTTGCAGACTCCCTGGGTGCTGGTCCCTGGGCGTCAGACACCCTGGGTTGCAGCACCCTTGCACCCGCCGCCCCGGCGCCGGCCGCAGCCCGCGCGCGCGTCCGGCCAATTAGTTTCGGCCGCAGCCCGACCGTTACTCTCCGCCGCTGGCGCTCCCGCCCGCGGCTGTAATATATATATATATATATATACACATATATATATATATACATATACATATATAATATATAGATATATATAATATATATATATATATACATAATCACCAAAGCCGCCACCGGGCGGCCAACCGGGTCGGGGTGCCCCCCCCCGCTGTGTCTGGCTTCGGCCTTCTCGCCGGATGGCGGCGGTTCTCCCACCGCATCGGCCTCTGCCATGCCGCGCAACTCGCGGTTCTTCCCCTGGCCTCGTCGAGTGGTGGTGCCGTCCCTCCACCGCTCCGGCCCTCGGCCTTGCCGCTCAAATAGCGGTTCCCCTTTCTGGGCTAGCGGCCGCCCCGGCATCGCTTGTCCAGTGTTCCCCGGCACGTGCGGTTGGTTCCCTGGGTCCCGGCCTGTGCTTGCCCGAGGTGCCCTTCTGCTTGTCGTCACTTGGTGTGTCAGCCCTGCGCGTGGTGCCCATTCGGGCCCGTGTTGGGTCAACCTGACACCACCTCACGCACTGGTACGTGGTGACCCGCGCCATTTTGGCTGCGTCGCGGCTATGCCGCTTCCCGCATGCGTGCGCACTGCTGCCGCGTGGTCTCTCGACTACCGCCACCCTGGAAGTTGCAGCCTGCCACTGCGCTTGCTTCCTGGCGTCACTTCTTTGGCCGACGGTCCTTCGGACCACCCTGGTTTTCGCGTTCACGCCTACGTCCGGGGCCTCGCCATTGCATTTGTCATTCCCACCTCGACTGGCGATTCGTTGGCCGCACCCACCCTGGTGCCTACGCAGCTGCTCGAGGTTCGGTCTCATGCATTAATTATCGGAGCTGCCCCTGGTCGTCGTTTATATCCCGACTTCCTGGCGCCGTCGACGTACCTGCATCTTTGCACGCTGGCAGTTCCACTCAGTTTCAGTGGCCGCGGCCGCCCTGGTGCCTACGCAGCTGCTCGAGGTTCGGCTTCACGCAGTACTAATCGGAGCTGTCCCTGGTCGTCGTTTATATCCCGACTTCCTGGCGCCTTCGACGTACCTGCGTCTTTGCACGCTGGCAGTTCCATTCAGTTTCAGTTCCTCCTGCCACCCGCCCGCCGCTGGGCCGCTGCGCGAGGCCTCGGCTTTCCGCGTTAGTTGTGGCCCTTTCGCGCCGCCTCTGCCGAATTAGTCTCTGCGTAGCCCGCTTTGACCTGACTCGCCGCCGGCGCGCTCGCCCGCGGCCGCTGACTAAAAAGTACCCCCGCCAGCCCACACACACCCTGTCCCCGATGACCTCCCTACTCGGTCTGGCCCCTGGCCCTCCTACGAACGTGCGCAAGCCGACCTCGCACAAGACCTAACTGACCCAGTCACTGGCCTCTACATCTACATGACTCAACTGGAGCGGATCGATCTCATCAATCCCCGCGGTGAGACTCTGGCCGAGACCGCGAAGCGGCTTCAGAGGCACTTCGGGGAGTACTTCAATGGGATATGGCACCAGTGGACGACCTGGAACCCCGCCCAGTCTGGCCACATCTGTGCCGACCCCACGAAGCAGGAGCCCGAATCATGCTTGCGCTTCCCCAAAGAGTGGACTAGTCACGGTTGTGATGCCTTGAACATGGACGACTCGCTTCGACTGGGCGTCAATTGGGTCGCGGTCCGCATTCGGTTGAATGATAGGACCAAGGGCAAGGGCACTCCAGGCAAGGCCAAAGGCAAGGGGCCCCGGGAGGACAGCGACTCCAGCTGGACGAGAACGGTAGAAACCCGGCGCTCCGCGGGCTCTCGCCAGCCCTGGGTGCACTCCTAAGTCCCAGCCCAGGCCACGCGGGCGCAGGCACGCCACGACTGTTCTCCTGACCATGGACGCCCCACACTACATCAGTGTATCTCACGGAGCCCAACGCCCCCCCGACCAGGCAGGCTTGGTCGGCTCCTCCAGCGCACTACCTTGATGTGCGCCTAATACCGCCTCGGGCGTGCCCAGCCGGGGCTGTTGGCTCGCCCCAGGCACCGTGGAGTTCCTTCTGGGACCCCACTTTGCGGCCCCTCTCCCCGTGGACGACTGCCGGCCCACCCTGACACGCCGCGGGCGAGCCCGGGGGTCGCCCCCCCCCCCCCCCCCCGGGCGGGCCCCCAATACTGATAGAGCCTCCGTGGCGCCACTTGCAGCCCAGCGCTGCCCTGCACGTCGGCGCTTGGCCCCCATCGCCCACCCGGCAACGAGGGCCCGACCATCGCCCTGCAGACCCTCGCCCCGTCGGTTCCCCCCCACCACGGGCCCTGCCCGCTGCGGGCCCCCATCCCCTGAACTTCACTGCGACCGCGGCTGTTAGCTGCTCCCCCGCGCCCGCCCTGGCCACCGCCCCCGTCCGCCCCTGGCCCTCCGCCCCCCACGTTCCCCACGGCATTGACACCCATCCCGCGGCTGTTAGCCGCGCCCTCCTCCTCCTCCCCCTCTGCGACGCGCCGCTGGCCCCCCTCGCTCGCCGCCCCAAGTCCGCCCCTCGGCCCCCGCCCCCACGCACCCCCCGACGCGGGTCCTCACAGCGACTGCTGCCTCCCCAGGCTCTTCGCGGTTTCTGCGGCTGCGAAGCTGCACCCCCGCGTCCGCCGTTCGTCCGCCCCCGCGCCCCCGCCCCCCACGCACCTTCGCCTCGTGGGCCCAGGCTTTCGCGGCTGTCCGTCGCTTCCCTGGTCCGTCTAGGCCCGCCCCTCCTCTTGCGGCTGCCCCCCCGCAGGAGGTGCCTGGGCCCGCCCGTGATCCCAGGCTTTCGCGGCGGTCAGCCGCAATCCTGGCCCTTCGGGCCCGCCCACCCCCCTGCGGCTGCCCCCCCGCAGTAGGCGCCCGGGCCCACCCATTGTCTTCATTCTTTCTGTGGCTGTTAGCTGCGCCCTCCACCCATAGTGCGACCTTTGCCCCCGTCGCTCCCCGCCTCCGCTGGCGCGCCTCCTCGGCCCCCGGCGCCCCCCCCGGGGCGCTGGGGCCGGTGCCAGCAGGTACTCTGGCCCAGGCCGCCCAGCCCCCTGCGACTGACCCCCCGCAGGAATTGCTCGGGCCCACCCACAGTGCGACCGTGGCCTCGGCCCTCGTCGCTCTCCGCTTTCGCTGGATCCGCTCGGGGGCCATGACTCGCCCGCGGTGCGCCGCTAGTTTGGCCTGAACGCCCCGCCGGCTTGGCGTTTTCGGGACACAGGCTCTCTCCCCCAGCGACGGTCTCCCCCGACGGCCCGCTCGCCCAGGTGGAAGTGGTCACGCGGCACCGTGCCTCACGATTGCGGTGGCGTGCTGGTGCTGCATTCGGCACAAGCAGACGCAACGCCGAGGGAAGGTATGCCGGGAGTGACGCTACTGCAATGTGGGCGCCGTCGCCACCACCAGTCTGGCCTGGTGGTCGTTTTCGCCTGCTTCGTCTGAGCTGCGGCTGGGCCTGCCCCGCCGTTTAATTTGCATTTTTCCGCCGCTTGGTGGTTGCACGCTTGCGGTGTCGCACTAGGCCGTGATAAGTTCGGCTTTTGCCGTTCGGCATGTCCCTGACGGCGCGCGGCTCTTCTGCTTGCGCTCGCGAACAAAAAAGTGTCCGCACCAGCCCATCCATAATCGATGCCCAGGGGAGTTGAGGTGATCAGGGAAGTGGGGGAGCATGCAGAAGAACAACGGGCTGGGGAAACCGTCATAAATCCCAAGAGGGGGAGGATGGAAGAGGAATCGCCGTCGCCGTCGTCGCCGCCGGAGGAGGAGGGGGCGGAGTAGGGCGGTGAGGAGAGAGGGAAAGTGATGGAGAGTTGGGCACGTACTTCGGGGATCCTCTTGAGGCCTCGCATGCGGTCTCTTGTGAGTCTCTTGGATGCCTCTTGGGGCCGTCTGGGCGCCTGTTGGGGCCCTTTTGGGGCGCTCTTGGGGCCTTCAGGGGCGCTCTCGGGGCCATTTTGGAAGGCATCGATCAAAGAAAAGGGGCGCTCCAATTTGCCTCTCCCTTCGGGAGCACCGAAGATCGCCTCCTGGACCCCTCTCGGAGCGTTCTTTGGTGCTCTTGGGGCCGTCTTGGGGCTCTTGGGGGTCTTTTCCTGTGGTTTTCTTGGGCCATCTTGGAACCATATTGAG